ATATATGACAAAGTTCAAAGCTAGGATTGCTGGCATGTGCTTGTTTCCCCCCTATATCTCAGGACAGCTTTTTTTCAGTGGGATGGAGACAATTAGAATTTGTGTGTGCTAGTGAGAGCGTACACGGCACATCTCACAGCACAGCCTATTAAGCAACTACTTGCACAGGTGTTACTTAAGAAATTATCACATTAAATGAAGAACACTATCACAGTTGTTAATTTCCTCTCTAAAAAAAAGTAGAAGAAGAAAAAAAAGTGTGGGCTCAGGTACTGAAACTGGCATCGCGCGCCAAAAGAACACATCATAAAATACATATTTATGAGAAAGGCTTGGACCCTGTTCAACGTAGAGAAAGCGGGGGGTTTGGGGTGGGGGAGAAAAAAGGCCAAACGCTAGTCCAGCATTGCCAGCTCGTCTTGTATTCCAGAAGGAGCCTTATGATACATTATGGTGCTGACGTTTCAAGGGTACTTGTTCTGAGGGGGATTTAGGATAACTCCCTTAGATAAGCTGGCCAACATTTAGCAGACCTAGCAACAACTGTAGCGTCTGTTCTCAGCCACATCAAGGAGACTTCTTCATTACGGCCCTCGCAACTTTTTTCCTCGTCTGTGTTGTTTTTGTTTTTTCCGTAACTGTGGTGCGTGCCAACGGAGCCAAGATGCAACCTGACAGTTTTAATTAACTGAAGAGTTTACCTGACAAAGCTGTGTGATACGAAAAGTAAGGAATGTGGTTGTTGGGGCGAGGGGGTGGGCTTTGTGTGACTGCGTTAAAAAAGAATGGCAAAGAAAAACAGTAGGAAGCAATGACGGACATAAATCTGTTAAGACAATGTAAGTCAGATCCACAGCTGGTGATGGTATCAAAATGCCAAATGAATAAATAAATTTAAAAAGTGTACGTTCATTAATCGTGTGTGGAAGCGTTGTTTTAAACGTGCTGAACACTCATCTCCTTTGGTATGATGACATTGCAGTGTTAAAAGCTACAGAAGAAGATGTTTGGCTTTGCTGATTTACTACTAAACACCTCACGCAATCTTGACATTGATAATGCTCCCGTGCTCCTCCAACCGGGTGAGACTCAAATGTGTTATGTTGTAATTAGTCATGCTGTGTTGACTGCTTTGTCAATGACACCTGATATGAAAAAAAAAAACATCTTGGAAAGCCGGATAGGAAAACCTAAATAAATTCCACACACGCACGCTAAAAGGAAATCGTAACACACAGATACCTCGGGATTTGCTGCCGTACCCATCACCATTACGGTGTAATTCCTCTCCTGCAAAATTGTTGGAGGCCGTTTCACATATTTTACAGAAGCTTTATTATAAACTCTCTCTTTCTTCCTCTGTTTTTACTTCAATGCTTCAGTGCATTAAAGATAACCAGAAGTCAAATACAGTATGCCAGTTGTTTTACATGCTTTTTCCATGTACTTTACATATTTAAATACACAACTACTAGTTTACATCTGAGTCATTGTCCCTGCACTGTGTTTGCTGCACCACTTCACTCTGCTTAGGGTCAAGAAGACAAATCCACTCTGAAATATATTTCAGAATAAGAAATCAGACGTATACGGTACATTTCACTCATTGAGTGTTTGCATTTTAATTTCAAATACAGCACAGGAATGCTAATGCTTGTGGAGCATTGTTGCTAAAGGTGGAGCACAAGGATAAGAAGTTACTAAAAATGTAAATAGTAATGTTATTTTATTAATTTTATGGAAATATCATTTAAAAAATCAGATTTATTATAACCTGATGTAAATAGAAGTTTTTTCCTAAACCAGCGGAATAAAAATCTGATGTGAACAATGAGTCAAAAAATAAATAAATTGGACTGTACCTACATGGAAGCGGAACTTAAAACTATAAACACATAATTAAATGACCCACATTTCTATTCTCAGAGAAGAAAGAGAAGTCCTCCTACTACAGTGCCTGATATGCATTGCTATGTGTAATCATTGTTTTCATTACTGCTCAGGCTTAGTTTTGATGTAAGATATGATTTCTTGCCTTTTAAAATGGCACAAAATAAAAAAAGCTCTCCATTATAATATCTTAAAGGCCAAGATGTCCAGTCCAGAACCCAAAGATCTTTAATATAATGAAAAACTTAAGCAAACACGACCAATTCAAATCATCTGGACCATGTTATGAAAAATGTTCCCTGGGCAAATAACATTTTTTTAGTGACTCCTCACTTTGACTTGTGGCCGGCGTTGACTGTAGATTTTCATTTTAAACCTTATAAATGTTGGATTTCATCACACACAGCGCTCTCGTTTCACCAATACAGACGGTGAGATAGCCATCGCGCTGATTCGCATCACTGCCCCGGTGGGCACTTCTCCGTCACTTCACGACCTGAGGAAACCGAAAATGATTTCTATTAATCCGGAGACCTTCTATTCAGCGTCGCCGTAACAATGCGAAACTTGATCCTCGCTGTTATCTGATGGGGACATACGAAGTGCGATATAACTAGTCACGCATGCTTGAAGCCCTCCCACGTAACGCTATGTAATGAAGTAGGATCAGGTTAAGTAGCATGTCTCCGATTTTCAACTGCTTCTTGTCCAGATGCTTATCGCACCAGCAGGGAGGGCTTGGTAATTTTTATGAGACAGACAGTGTGTTCATGCAAATGAAGTGTCTCATATAAAATGAATATTAATCAAGCCCACTGTCTGCATACAGTATGATTGATGAGCACTCACTCGGAAATCTTAGGAGATGAGCTGAGATGATTAAAACCGAGATGATCCTTTCCGTCTACGGTTAAAGATTATTTTTTCCACTCGGTTGAGCTTCCAAACCTTGCTGATGGCTTAAAATTGAGCGGTCAATTTTATAACGCTAAACTCAGCTGAAATGTCATAATCGCGCTTTGCTAATGCGAGCTGAAAGGTGTGAAAAACCAAAGGTAAATGGAGAGTGGTCTTTTAAAGGCACTGCGTGCATCCTTGGAGCCTGACAACGTGAGCAGCAAGGCATTCACTCATACAATTGCTTTTCCACAAGGGACCCCAACACAGCTAGCCACTGACAGGCAGATAATAGCGCTAACTTTAGCCTGTACAGTGTCTGAATGCTCCTA